GTGGAAGTCACGCCATATCACACAAAGAGCTAGGACACACTCCTACCTAAGAGGCAACTTGTGGGCAGGCCAGAAGCTGCTGGCTGCTGGCAAGGTATGCTGACCCATTGTACAGGCCACTAGGAGGCAATGCAAAGCACCATGAGAGGCAGACTGCCCAGTGTGTCTTCCAAGCCTGATAGGACTTGGCTCCTCTACCCCCTATGCTCAGTGGCTGGGCACCTGCACGCACATGGCCATTTTTTGCCACCTCTTCCCCTTCCCCTTCAGGTTTTGGCACAGAAGTTTAGGGCAGGTTGGTGGTGTCAGTGTTTGGATGCCTTTAGCGTCTGCAGCCCTCTGGCTCTGCCAGGGATGGTACCCAAGGAGCCAGGGGGACAGGGCCAGGAGACTGCTGACATCTAATGTCAGGTCCATCCTAGCCTCTGCCCACAGCTGGGCATCAGCCAGACCTCTGTAACTACATGGGGCTAGAGTCCTGCCAAGGGCACAAAATGGTTTTGGTTCCTGGGAGAAATTTTGTCTTCAGGGAAACTGCATAAAAGTCGGACCCAACACTGCACTAGCAGCATTCCAGAACCTTCCATGGTCTTAAAAGGTGGCCACCAGGTCCAGCCTCATTGCAACCTGTATTGGTTCCCCACTTTGCCAGAGCAGACTGACTTCCAGGTAGGATCAGGACAAGGAAGCAGGAGGCCGTGGCCTTGGACCTGGGGGCTGAGGCTTCAGTCACAGGGCATCCGAACCAGAGATATGGAGGGTGGTAACCTGGGCCTGGAGTAGATGCTCACAACTTTCAAAAGGAGCTGCCTGAGACAGAGCCCCACCAGTGGGAGTTGGGGTCCAGCCAGGGCAGGTCCGCCCCAGAGTGGTTCAGGTAAAGACATTTACACCCCAGGAACTGAGGAGTCACCGTGAACAGTGATCTCCCCAGGATCAGATGGTGGGGGAAACATCATGTCACAGGTGAGGCCCATGCTGTTGTCTGGAGGTTGGGGTGGGAAGGAGTCCCACCTCCCTCCTCTCATCTCCCAGCAAGCCTCCCATCTGCTTCCCCTCTGTAGATAGGGAGACAGTGCTGGCTGTGGCCAGGGAAGAGGCTCCCAAGGTGCCCAGGATGGAGCTCAGGGTAGCCGGTGATAGCCACCAGGAAGTGGCAGGGTGTGGCTCTTCCTTGGTATTCCCTGTATCAACCCTGAGTCAGTCGCTTGAGTTGTACTCTGGGCCATAGGGCTTCCCAGCAGGCCAAGGTGAAGGTTGACATGTCTCTCCTGTGCCAGCAGGTGGGTGACTATGTCCATTCAGCGGGGACCCAAAGCCATGAGTGCTAGGTGCAGAGCCAGGCCAAGTCCATGTCACCATCAGGTGTGTGGTGACCTTAGCTGTGCTTTCACTGTGTCTTTGTGTTCTGAAACACAGGGTTGAAAAGCTGATGGGATGTTTAAGGCAAAGCCCTGCTGACCATCCACCCAGGGTGGAGGCATGTTCTCAAGATCCTCAGGGAAGGGGACTCTGGTTTACTGAGAGCAGTGTCCCAACTAAGGAAGGGATAGGGCACCTTTCCTCCGAGGTTCAGGGTGTGTAGGGCACAGGGTGGCAGAGCCTTCCCGGACTAGGCCGCTGCTTCAGTGTGAGGAGATGGAACACACACAGCAGACCCTCAGTTACCTCTTGTTGAAGTGGGAAGCCCTGGGCCACACCAAGAAGACTGTTGGTCTCCATGATGACAGAAAGCAGCCACAGGACTACATGCTCCACAAGGGACAAGCCCCCGGGCTGTTTTGGCAAAGGCGAGCTCCCTGAGTGTAACCTCTCTGGGAAGATGGCGAGGTGGTTTCTCTGGGGCTCGGTATGGGGAGAAGCTAAGGCAGCTGCGTTCTTCCCGCTCAAGTGCCTAGGATCTTCGATGCATCTCGGATGTGTCCTCGCTCCAGCCCAAAAGCCCCTCAAAAGTGGGCCTGCCCTCCCTCCCTCCCTCCCTCCCTCCCTCCCTAAGTAACCTCAGGCAGACAGGCCTCCCTCACTCTCCATGAAGCCTGACCATGAAGCCTGTGCTCTGCGCTCCCCAAGGCTGGCTTTAGCCTCCTGTCACTCCGGTCATGAGGAAAGTTTGAGAACACCACACTCAGCTCAGAAAGTGGGCACATGGAGTGTGACCTGGTCACTATCATCCCTCAGCAGTCAGGGCTGGGAAGGCTCTGCTGTTTTTAGAGAACCCCATACTGTGTTCCAGAAAAAACAAGAGCTTTTGCATGTGGGCGCTGCTGTTCCTGGTTACAGCACAGGTCGAACCGACAGTTCCCTGGACCTCCCCACACCCACCCCACCCCCCACCCTGGCTTTGCTGCTGCTTCATCCAGATGTGATGAGACCTGGATGCAGAGGCCTTAAGCAGCTTGGCCAGCATCACACAGCTTGGAAGTGGTAGAGCAGGGATTTGAACTGAGGTAGCCTAGCTGCAGAGCCACAGCCCCCACAGCCCCCACACCTCTGAGTACCGAAAGCCCTTCTGATGAGCTAATAAAGTGCCCGAGGGGTACAGAGAGGGAGAACCAGGGAGAGGCTATTAGCAACTCCTACAGTGAAACATCGCCAGGCCTTCTGAGGCACAAGAAAGCAGAAATAGATTGCAAAAAAATTGAGGAAGAAACTGACGGCTGGGGTAGGGCAGCCCGCCTGGGCCTCCCCGCCAGGATCTCTTTCTGCTTTGTAAGTGCGGGCGGAGTAGTCACCAGATGCAGCCTTGGCTGTCCCAGACTGCCATGTCCCCAGGATGCAGCTCCTCGGGGACCCTCACCAGACTCCCTACCAGTTCCTCTCTCCGTCTTGAGGAGCTGACTCCCCCAGTCCCACCGTCTCCCTGCCTTGCCAGCTGAGCACCCGCGCTTCGGAGCTCCGAATGAGCCATTTCGGCTCGGGGGCCAGATGCATTTTTATATCTGCCTGGGAAAAAATGGCAGGGGTTCTGCTGGCAGTCGGAAGAGGCTTCTAAATTAAACTTAAAAAAAGTGTTTGGGGGTGGGGGGGCTGCACCTGGCTCTTCTCAAGACTGCAGAGAACAAAGCGTGGAGACCTTCCCTCTCTGTGAGCCCACACGACTCTTTAATGCCTCCTCTCCCACCCCACCCCACCTGTCCCCAAGCCGTCCTTCCAGATTCTGTTTGTCTTGAGTGGCCACTGGGTGCCGCCTTCATAGCTTGCTCTAAGTCCTGTAGCCTTTCCAAGATGGGGCATGACTCCGCTAAGGCAGTGACTAGCCCAGGGCCGTGGCCTTATTTCCCACACCCCGAAGCTTAGACAACACAAGCGGACTCCCTGGCAGTTCCAGGGCCCAACACCCAGATAGTGTGGGGTGAAGTGTGACTGGTGCCTCCCTCCCATTTGCTGACCACAGCCGGTGATGCTTGGTGTGGATGGTTGTTAGACTCACCTCCTCAGGCCCTGTCTCCATCTCCACATGGTGCTGTGCCTGTGCCTGACACTAGTCCGCCTCGCTCCAGTGTGACCCGGTTCTTTCAACCACTCTTTTCCAGCACAGTCACCTCCCAGGGTGCCCAAGGCCAGACCCCGATGCATCTTCTAGGGGACACATTCCAACCAAAGCGATCACGTCATGGGCAAGGGGCAGTGGCTGGTTCCGGGCCTCACTGTACTGGTTACTGGGTGCTGTAGGCGTCAGCACAATGAGAGGGGCAGACTCACAGCTCTTCTTCTGCCCCTGTGTCACCGTCCTCCAGCTGTGAGCCAGGGTGCTCTCCACCCTCTCCCCCCCCCCCGCCCCGGGAGCCCCGAGAGCATCCTCTACACCTTAGGGCTCTGTGGAGAGAAGACAGCCGCAGGGGGCATTTGTCTGCGAGCACAGGAGATGGGTACACAGGCTGTGGACCCCACACCGAATCTCCGCGTGTCTGCGAGCACAGGAGACGGGTACACAGGCTGTGGACCCCACACCGAATCTCCGCATGTCTGCGAGCACAGGAGACGGGTACACAGGCTGTGGACCCCACACCGAATCTCCGCGTATCCTCCAGGGCCCCAGATCTGGGTGTATCCACCCTTCCACTTTAGGATGCTGAGCCCAGAAGGTTCGCGTAACCTGCCTAAGCTCTTAAAAAAAGGAAGCCCAGAGTCTGCCTCGCTCCAGACATGATCACTCTAGAGCCGAAAGACAGGTCTTGGCCGCTTGGTCCTGTGTTAGTGACGTGGGGTGTTTCCAGAAGAATTAGAGGCTGTCCCTGCACAGAGCCACTCAGCCTCACAGCCAGCCATGTGTACGGAGGGCTTTGGTCAGTGCTGTCTCCTGGTCGTATGAATGCCCGGGGCAGGCACATCCATAAAAGCAGAAAGTGCGTTTGTGGTCTCTGTGAGCTGGGAGAAGAGTTGGGGGACTTGAGGAGTGACAGCCAAGGTGTGTGTTTCTTTTGAGATGGTGGTGGAATGTTCTGGAATCCATATACTGATGCCTGCATATAAATACACGGACCGTGTATGGATTGTATCTCAGTTTAGTGTTTAAAGGGTCGGGGGAGGGGTGCAGGGAGCTAGGCAGAGCAAGGAGGAAGAGCCTGTTCGAGGCCTGTGCTGCTGAACTGGGCCCGGGAGCCCGTGGTGGACAAGGGACCAGTAAGGAGACAGCAGAACCAGACAGGACAGATTCAGACAAGGGATGGGGGATAGGCAGAGGGCCGGCAACAGAAAGGGGCCTCTAGTAGCCCTGAGGGACTGTCCTCTGACGACCAGGCAGCTGGGTTTCTCACCTGACAGCTGGGTGAGAGGAGAGCCCATTGGGGTCACCCTCCCCAGATAAGATGCCACATGGGAAACAGGTGGCCCACCTGTATTGACTGCTCAGTAGCTCTTTCCCCTGAAACATAACTTAGTAATTAAGTAGGTGGGCCACCAGCACCCCAGTGCCTTGCCAGACACCCCTAGTCACAGGGTGGAGGGAGGCTGTGTACAGCGCCCACAGCTCACATGCTGCTCTTTCTTTCCCCCTCCAGAAAGCCTTCAACGCGCTCTGTCACAGCACCCACTTGTATGGCCGCAGGCTGGTTCTGGAATGGGCAGACTCAGAGGTGACGGTGCAGGCCCTGCGGAGGAAGACAGCCAGGCACTTCCAAGGTAGGAGCGGCCTGGCGCTCGCCTGGCCGACTGGGGGCTTCTGGGATTGGGAGCTGGGGCAGAGGCTGCCTGCGGAGCTGCCCTCACTTGGGTCCAGCCCCCGAGGCCTCTTGTCACCAACCCGCCTTGTATCAGGACAGCCACCTTGTCGCCTTGCATGCGGGTAGGGCGGTGGGGGCCAGGCAAGCAAGAAGGGCAAGGCAGTGTCACCTCTGTCCCTACTCTGGTCCTCGGTCCAGGTTCCAAAAGTGCTCCCTCGAGCCCAGGGATGCCGGCAATGGATCCTGGAGGCTGGCCCTAGGAACCACAGGGTCACCAGGGTCACCAACTTCCCATATGCCTTTCTTCAGGGTTGTCCTCTTCCTGCCTGAGCTCAGTGCTCACAGAGCTGACTCATCAAGGTGACACTCTATGGCCTTAAAGACTATAGAGCTGATGACCAGGAACTCCTGAGCCTGGCTGCCCTCATGCTTGGGATACCATCGTGACTAAGCAGGGCCATGGGCACAGGTGAAGGGGCTGGCCACTTCCCTTCGTGGGTAGCCCAGGCTGAAGGTCCCCAAAGGTGAGAAGCAGGAGGCCCATTGTGCCTGATGCTAAGGGACATAGACAGAGGGAGTCAAGGGGGAGCTAGAGTCTGTGGTGCTGGAGTCAGTGGGCCTCGTCTCTAATAGGGTGTGCATCCCTCACTAGGATGTCAAGGCTTGAACTTAGAGCCCACCTTCCTTGACAGTACCTCACGGTGGTCCCCAGGAAGTGGAGCAAGGCAGCTAACATTGTCTGCTGGCTTTAGGTCCATTGGTTTCATGAGTCTCTCAGCTAGAACAGGTCCCCTCCTCCCACTTGGCCGGCAAAGCCGGGTTCTGGGTCAGGCTGGGACATGCCTGTCTGCAGTAACCCTGATGCTGCGATCCAGAGGCAGGCAGTTTCTTCCTACCTGGTCGTCCTACCATCAAGGCCCTCGGGGATCCTCGTGGCTAGTGGGCTCAGAGACCACTGTTGTCCCTGAAGTGTTTGCCGTGAGCTCTGTGTCTATAGGGCTGGGGTCAGGAGCCATCTGTCCCTGCTCCTTGCCAGGGATAGTGGGAGGACCATAAGGGGACATTGTCCTGGGGGATTTTGAGCAGTCCAGCAAGATTGTCCCTGGCTAGTGTGCTAAAAACTGCAGAGGCAGCTTGAGGCTTTGGAACTGACCAAAGCCTTGGAACACAGACCCTGGCCCTCCACTGCTCTACCTAGAGCCACGCTACCTTTCTACAGCTGTGGTTCTCAACCTTCCTGATGCTGTGACCCTTTAATACAGTTTCTCATGTTGTGGTGACCGCCCCCCACCACCACCGTAAAATTATTTTCATGGCTACTTTATAACTGTAATTTTGCCACTGTTATGAAATGTAATGCAAATATCTGATTTGCAGGATATCTGGTATGTGACCCCCATGAAAGGGTCATTCGACCTTCTAAAGGGGTTGCGACCTACAGTTTGAGAGCCCCTGTCCTACAGGGTTCGTTGTCCCCCAGCTCAAGGCGGGGCCCCGTGCACTCACACATGCTGTTCCATATTAACACAGCACCTTTCTCTCTGCTTTTGTTTGTGCTGTGAGTGGCATGGAGAGCCATCCCCTCCCTGCCCTGCCCTCTGGGTATCAGGTGTCAGTCATCGACTGTCTTCTGCTCCTCTGTGCCTCTGCCCCTGTACGCTCTTGTTTTTTTACTGTCTTACATTCTGGTCAGGCCGTCACCACTGCTGCCGCCGCCGCCGCCGCCGCCTCCACCGCCGCCTCCCACCCCCCCACCCCGCCATGGCAACTGTGGTGTGCTGTGTGCTTGTATCTGGACTGGTCGGTTCCTATCTGGTGCCCCTGTTTAGTTCAGCTCTGAGGGGTGCCAGGCTTTCCATCCAGGGCTGGGAGCGTTCCAGCTCAAGCAAATGCAGAGCTGGAGGAACGGGAGATTGCGTACTCAGTGGCGGGCTCACAACTCAATAAGATCCCAAGTCCTGATGGGCAGACAAAACCTGTCTGCATCGACAGGCATCGACAGGCCCAAATGCACCCGTCGGCAAATGTTTGTGGAAGGCACTCTCCCGGGACCGAGGCGGGGCCCGCCTCCCCTGTGGTCACCCCACCACCCAGCCCAGGCCTGCGAGAGTGCAGGCTCAGCACTTCTGCTTTGCATGGATAGAAGCCCCTTCAATAAATTGAGCTCTGAAGCCAGCATGCTCTCCTCCCAGGTGAGAGGATGCAGCAGAAGGCAGGCCTTGGTGTGGACAGTCTCTGTGGCGGCTCACAGCCGCTGGGCCCCAGTAGGCAGGTGTAGCAATGAAACTGATAAAGATACCTCTCCGGCAGATCCAAGGTGGCCGTAAGGACCGCCTCAGGCATGGCTGTGACTCCCATCAGGCATTGCCCTGCAGGCCCTGGGGCAGGTGCAAGGCTGCAGCTGTGCAGATGCCCTGGAAACAGTGTGCGGTCCACTTTCCACCTTGTCCTGCACGTGTGCGCAGCAGCCAGAATCCTCAGAGCCGGGCTGCGGGCCTCAGAGCCTGCCCGGGCCTCCTTCTTCCCCTGCCCTTTTCCCTGCCGTGAAAAGTACTGGCTCATTTGTGTCGGAGTCCACATTGTTCTGAGCATCCAGGGTCCAGGCCGGAGCTGGGCACCAGTCCCACTTGCCCTTGGGCTCTGCCAGGAAGGCACTCAGACCTCAGGTGGAGGCCTTGAAGTGCTGGCCACCACAAAGGCTCCCTGAGGGCTGCAGACCATGCCATCAAAGGCCCGGCCCGGCCACAAGCTCGCCCTCGACACCATGACCTGAGCCGTTCTCAGGGCTAACGATGGGTAGCCAGAGCCACTGCGCCAGCGTTTTGGCACTGGCCAGTACAGCCAGTGGGAGTCTCCCTGCTCTTGGGTTATGCCTTGCCCACAGCCCCGCTGCTGACATGGGAGGGATGGTGGAGAAACGCGGTCCTGGGTTAAGAAGACCGCTGAGCTGTAGCTCAGGTTCACTGACACAGCCCCCACCACTATGCCACTCTTCTCCTGCCGGGCCTTGTCGGGAACCAGACGTTGCTACAGGCTGCCGTGTTCTTAATCCTGCAGGGCTCGGGTAGATACTATCATTGACCCATTTAGCAGATCAGAAAACTGAGACTCAGAGAGGGCAAGTAACGTATTAATGGTCACCCAGCTACCTGTAGCATAGCAAGAACCCAAACCTGAGTTTCCAGCCACTCTCCCGACCAAGCCTTTGCATCGGCTGATCCGGCTGGCACCCTTATGTTGACTCATTGTGTGTGTGCGTGTCCTGCTATCCACTCTGTGGCCCCTGGTGAGTCTCAGCCTCAGCTTTGCCATCTGTACAGTGGACACGAGGTGCCAGCACCTCGGGGGCCTGTGGCTCCAGGGAGCTAACACATGGCTTGGTCTTGCCACTCTCCCAGGCCCAGGCTAGTGCACTGAGGAGGATGTGACTGGGTAGAGAAGAGGGAGAGCCTGGTGCTCCTGAGTCCCCGGCCAGGGCGCAGTGCCTGGCACACACATGGGAGGAGAGACCCAGGTGCAACCCACCACAGGCTCCCACTGACTGGTGTCCAAAGGAGGTTTGCTCTAACCGCCGCCCCCCCCACCGTCTGTCCCATGGGACACTCCTCGTGCTCCTCTGTCCCTGGGTGACGGCAGGGCACTGCAGTGCCCCTTGCTAACTGGTGCTTGGGAGGCACCTGGCAAGCTAACAACACAGGCCAGGCCTCTGGACCTGGCTGGGAAGAGTCACCCTGAGGGAGGTGCCGTGGGGGAGGGAGGCTACTGTCCTCCCCTTGGTTCCCTACTTCATTTCCCCTCTCCTGTCCTCTCTCACTCGACACAACACACACGCACACATACACACACACACACACACACACACATATAGACACACACATACACACACATATAGAGACACACACAAACACACACACACACATAGGCACGCACGTGCACACATACACACACACATACATACACACACACACACATACATATAGACACATACAAACACACACACAGGTACACACGTGCACACATACACACACACATACACACACACACACATATAGACACACACAAACACACACACACATAGGCATGCACGTGCACACATACACACACACACACACACACACACATACATATAGACACACACACACACACACACACACACTCCTGGACTATCCCAATCTGCTCCTCTCCCCGCTCCCACCCCTCCAGCTCCTGTCCTCCTCCTGCTCTCTGCCTCCCAACCCCTCCCTGGTCAGGAGTCAGATCTCCGATCTCCAGCCCCGGCCGGGCCCTGTGGTAGGTGAAGTGTTATTCTTCTCTGCCTGGCACGCGGGATGTGGAAAGAGGGCGCAAGGGGGGACGAAAGAAGAAAGCCTGCCCCTGGCTGTGTCCTTTCTTCCTGAGCATGTTAGAAACCAGCAGGGTTGCGGCATCGCGAAGCTTTCAGGGCTTGGCAGGCCACGGTCACCACGAGCACAGGCGACAGAATAAAATGGCCTGGAAGCCATCCGCCGCCCAGCCCCGTCTTAAGCGCTCACAGCCAGGGAGGCCTGGCACATGGACTTTTATTTGGCCGGGAGCGCGGCTCGGCTTCCCTCTGTTGTCTTATTCCAGCTGGGGAGGCTTGATGGACTGTGGTTAGCGGCTGCGACTTCCACCTCCAGAGCAGGCACGCAGGCATGAGCGGCATGGCAAGTGGCTGGCGGTGGCGCATTCTCTCCACTCGCCCCCACTCCTGCCTTATCCCCTGCCCACTGGGCCTGGCGGCGCTGGCCAGAGCAGAATGTAGATAGGAAGTGCTTGCTCGCAGTAAGAGCCCTTGGGCACAGATGGGGATAGACCTGGCCCGTCAGCCACTAGCTTGGCTCTCTAAGCCAGCCTCCTACCTTCACAGAGCAGGGACAGAGCCCCCAGACCCCTGTCCCATCAGCCCACCACCAGGCCTCAGTCCAGACATGCCACGTT